AGAGAGAGAGAGAGAGAGAGAGAGAGAGAGTAGCATCTGAGTTTTGGATAATGTGTTTCAGTTTGCAATCAGCATAACATTATGCTCCTGCATCACCTGCCTCGTTGCCAATTTTATGTGGTTGTTTTTAGTCAATAACTTCTCTTAGAACATGCTTGAACTAGATAGAAATTTGAATGGTTCAATCTTCGTTCAGAAACTAGATTCGTACACGTAAGAGAACTAATACAACACAGCCAGATGGAATTTTAATTTGTTTGTTGATATAAATTTACTTTATATCCAAGTTAAGCTTAGGATTTTATAGTCTAAAATTCTAAATGATATGCAAACACAAATCTCATTTATTTTCTGCACCAATGTGTGTGTTCAACCTCCTTTTCTTTCACATAAACTGATATTATTGTTTGCTTTGTACTGCAGGAACAAGGAACTGTAGTTTAGATTCGTCAACAATTAACGAAGAAAAGGTACTTGGACATGATCAGAAAGAAGACAGTGATTCTGGAATTACAATGGCTACCAAATCTGTGATTTTGGACAAGCTTGCATCAGAGACTACAGGTCATAGTTCTGTTGAAGATATTGCTGCTTGTCTGACTTTGGGTCCTTCTGGCAGTGCAAGTTCTTTGAGCTTGGGGCATGATGGTCTGCCGGTGTCTGCTACAGAATTTAGTAATGAATCTTGCCCCATCGAAGCAAAGATGGGGAGTGAACAAAATGGAGGTAAGCTGGTGGGGCTAGAAGTGGATCTTAATTCGCTGAGCACAGAACACAATCCATTTTATCCTTTCAAAAAGTTGGGACAGATCAAATCTGCAGATGCCTCCGAGAGTGGTAGCACCACTGGTCCGGTTGAGGAGAGTGGACCTCTGAGAATGTGGAAGGAAATGAAGCAGAATGGCTTTCTTTCATCTTCACATGGAGGCATACCGATGCCCAGGCAGCGCGGTCGCCAGTCAAGAAAGAGAAAAGAGGATGAACTCCGAAGCAAGACCGAGATTGCGAAGAGAGAACAGGCCAACAGGTTTGCAAGAATTGCTGCTCCCAGTGGATTGCTTTCTGGACTAAACCCAGGGATCATCAACCATGTAAGAAATAGCAAGCAGGTTCACTCCATCATAGAGGCCATAGTGCGCTCTGAGAAACATGATGGTCAAAGTCAGAATAGGATCACCGACCAAATGGGCAGAGGAAGAAAAGAGATTAATGAGAGAAGAAAAGAGCATATCCGGACCCAAGATTCAACAATCAAACAGATCAATGTCTCTACAAGCAAGCCATGTATTCCACCAAACATGGAGTATACAGGTGAAGTCAGCGAAATGGACAAGGTTAGGCACAAGTTTAATCAAGGAGCTTGTGCAACTTCACAACTGACAACTTCGGGCCGTGGGGACGATGCACTTACGTTAAAGCTCTCACCAGCTACGACAATGGTTTCGGAAAATGCTAGCAGTGCAACAACTGATGAATTTTCTGCGAATCGGGAGAACCCTGACACTCTATCTCTTGAAGGTAGCAACTCGAATAAGAGAATTTACTGTTATAGAGTTTGCTGAACTTTGGCATTATGTTTGTATGATTCCTCATAACATAATGCAGATGAGCTAACTTGACAAATGATCATCTACAGCTGCCAATGTTGCTTCCCAGTGGTTGGACCTTCTTCAGCAGGACATAAAAGGACGGCTCGCTGGTGATAGTTTCTTTAACGAAAGCTTTGCTAAAGCTGTTGAATACAACAAGATTATTTATGTATCAAACATTGGTTTGTGTGCAGCACTACGGCGCAGCAAGAAGAGAGTAAGGAATGTCATACAGACCGAATTGCCTTACCTGTTATCCAAAGAGTTCATGTCTAACCAGGAAAATGAACCTTATTTTGCGCAATCGTCCGAGGCTGGTTGTTCTTCGAAGGCAATCTCAGATATGCATGTGGCACGTTGGAGATCTCTTTTTAGCCAAATGGACAAAGCACTGTTCGAGGAGGGAAAGCACCTTGTGAGTATCTACTTGTGTTCCTAAGCACTTTCAATTGTTTCTGTTTAATCACTAGTTTTTTGAACTTCGAAGTGCAACATTGACCCCTCGATCTTTGTTTTAGGCTTTTTGTCTTTAATACATGGAAGTATTTTTATCATGTGATAGATAGCATACATGGAAGAAGCCTTTGTAGCTTTCTTTGGGTAGCATAAATTACTTTCTGACTGCGAAGGTGAAGTTTTTGGATTGCTGCATGGATTACAATGGCTCTTATTCTGTTCCAGGAGAACTGGTTGAAACAAATTCAAGAGATGCAATTGCACTGTGAGAACGGCCTTAAGTTCGTTGTTTCAGGTGCTTCTTCCCATCTAATTTCAGCAAACGATTCAAGGTTTGTTGACTCCTCAGAATTCTCATTTTCCAGAATGTAGATTATTGTTGCAGCATGCTGCTACAGAAATATGTCATGTACTGCAATGTTGTATTCCTACACATTATAGACTAGTCTATTAATTGCATAAAAAGTAAGTTACAAACAACTTGCAATCCTAAACAGGATGCGTAGTATGATTTAGAGTTATATTCTAGATAGCCGACATTTTGTTGATGCCAAATTTTTCATTGCTATCCAGAAATGCATTCAATCTTATGCATATACAAGTAAAAGTGTGTACTCATTATTGATCATTTAAAATCATTTCTTTCTGATACAGTATTATCGTTTGAAGTATCTCACTTGATTCCAGTTCATCTTAATCGTTTGAACCCAAGTCATGATCATTTATCTTCATATTACTATTTGTCTTTGTTCAATTAAATTAGTGTCTTAATTCCATTTAATCTCCATACGTTGGTGACATATAAACTTCGTATATGCATTGTGGCTTGCAGTAAACCTAAGAAATCTGAAGCTGTAGAGAGGGAGTGCGCGGTCTGGGCTGCAGCAGCATCCATCTACTCCACATGCAACTTGATCATGACGACAGAAAACGTGTGATGCTACTGAACTCAGTAACCCCTTTGCACTTGCTTCACTAATTAAACAATCTTGGTAACTTGCTCATGCCAAATTGCCGCATTCCATTCTATAAATTAGGGGACTTGTGATTTCTCTTGCACTTGTTTTATGTGCATTTGTGTCAACTCGTGTCAAAATCTCTCTCTGACATTAATCGTATTTGTTAATCTTTATTGTAATGGTGATTTTTTGCCCACAAAAATTGATGTTTCTATTGAAAGCAGTGTGATATTTTTAATAAAAGAACTTGAGACTATAGTCTTATTGTTAGCTCTAACATTTGTTGAAAGGTTCACCAGTTTTAAGTTTTCTATGAAGAAAATGTCATAACTTCAACTTAGGCTAATACTAAATGCTGTAGGCAATATAGTGGAGATAA